TGGAGTGTACTTGATATCAGGAAAAACTGGTTCTTCAGCCGGCCTTTCATCACTGGCAAGTGCGTCAAGCACTGCCTCCGTTGACTTGTCAATTGCTGCTTCACTTTCTTCTACATGTTCCTCGGTTTGCAATTCGGATTGAAACGGAATCGGACGAGGATCAGCAATGACGTTGTCGACTAGGCGGTCCGGCTTGGGCTCTTTGGCCTCTTTCAGTGCACGGAGTGGGAAGACAAAACCTCCCGCGATGAGCTCAACACGTCGTGCTCGCTGCACTGTGATGCTGCCCATTTCTGCATGGTAATCCAATGCTTCTAACTTGGCAACAAGATACTCACCCTTCCATGCAAAACCAGGTTGAATGTGGTATCCCAAAAAGATTCCATCATTTGCTGTTGGTGATGTCTTTCCAGATGTGTTGTCAACCCTTTTTGGATTGTTCCAAAACAGTATCTTTGCACCGAAAGGAATCAACTGACCTGGAAAATCTTCTTCGAATCTGAGTTTCCATGGGGCATCATCACCGTTGAGCTGTGGCGTGGCATTCACTGCCATGGAGAAATGCTGCATAGCCATCGGCCAATACTGCAATGGAAGACCTGACTGCACGAGGTTTGTGCGTGTGCCTTCAAGCATGTGCCTGATCTCCCTCTCCACAAACGACTTTGAACTGTCCACGTACTCTGTTGATGTTTGATGTCTGTACCCCAACTCTGAAATTGTAGCAATAAGCTCTCGTGAATTGTCAGTGTAAACTGCCCCAACTTCATCCTTGTGAGATAAGAAGTGGTTGAAAGCATTAACACATGATTCACTCGATTTTGTCTGACTTGGATAGACGTGTCTGAACTGAGTGTGAATGTCCTTCATCACCAATGCCACTGTTTCACCTTTGACGCCTTCTTCCACATTGGATTTGATTACAGTATGGTCAGCGACAATGTGATCCCCAAAACTTTTGGTTTCCAACCTTTTCTGTCCCCCTTTCTTCTTTGCGGGTGGCGCCATCATGCGCGCCTTCTGACAGATCTTGCAAAATGGATTCTTGGGGTAATGGCAAAACTGGTGAGACTTACTGCATGCCTCTTGCTCAAGGTCAGATGCCTTTCTAGACCTGATGTATTCGGTTTCACTATCATGGGCTACTCCCTCATCCACACCTTCTTCATCGGCACCTTCTGCTTTCGCAGCAACCATTGCAAAAAGACGTAACAGATCACAATCTTTCTTGAACTGTCCACTGTTCAAAACACGACAAGAGCTATCGATGACCGGCACACGGCCGTCTACGTTAAGCTCAATGACTCCCATGTCCGGACGAATGAAGTAAGGCCTACCATCAGCTGGCCACACAAAACTGTAACCCTGTTCCATACACCTGACCCCAACCGAAAGAACAGCAGGAGTTTCCTCAAGAATGTATGGTGAAAACGGCTGATGTAGGGCATCGACTTTTACGTCGGCCACCTCATCCGCCCGTGTCGAACCGTTTGCTGTAGCAAGGCTGATCGGAGTATCGCTGATACGGCGGTTTGTCGCCTTTGCGGTCTTCAGCATACCCTCACTGATCAAATCCTGTTCACTGCCCGTGTCAACCAACCAAACACATCCATCTTTTGATGCAGGTGTAGCAACAGTGGGCAAATGAGTGTTACTGACTTTGTTCTTGGGACCGATCATTGCTCTACAGTGGTTGCATGATACTCCCCCTTCTGGGTCATTGCATCGGAATCGGCACTTGGGCTGCGTCTCACTGCCGAAGAGCTTCACAAGTTCCTGCAACTGTCGGGCCGAAACCTGAGCACGGTGAGCTACGAGTTTGTCGGGTTTTGGCACTGACTCTGAATCTGGGAACGTCTTCTCATAGATTCGGGGTTTGTGCACTACCTTCCTCTGTTCACCTGTTGCTGGAACTTTGATGTATTCCACTTTTGATGAAAACACAACAGCTCTATGGCATTGTTCTTTCATGGCCTTTGTGGCTTTTGGCAACCCTTTTCCCTTTGCTATGCATGCATACCTTTGAGTAATGCATGGCGCAGCTTTTGCACTGGCCTTCTTCTTTGGTGCAGGGCTATTGGTGCGTTTTGGATCCTTTGTGGGTGCAGCTGCAACTTCATGTTTGTAAAAACATTTGTCACCACGACGACATTTGCCCTGTTGGAAGTAAGTGCATGGGATCTTGGCCATCTCTTCCTTCGACTTTCTGTTGGGGGAACCACTTCTGCTACCACCTTTGCCCTTACCCTTTCTTTTGGGGGTACCAGATCTTGAGGAATCTTTGACATGCTTGTAGGGACAGTCTTTACCCTTTTCACATTTGCCATCCCTGAATTTGTAGCATATCTTGTCCCCTTTTCCACTCTGGCTACGGCCACGGGTTCGACCTCGGTCGCCCTTTCCTTTGCCGCGATCTTTGCCCCCCTGAGCGGGTGCAGCGGGCTGAGGCTTTTCGGTCTGCTTGTTCTTTTCAACGATTCTGTTTCTGTTTGAACGGAGTCTTTCTCTATCCAAAAGGTCACGAATGTTTCTCAACAAGAATGCATAAGACTTTTGTTCTGACTTTTCAGGAGCTCTGTCAAATGCTTCAATGTCATACTTCATCAATTGACATTTTCGGATTTGTCTAAGTAAGATGTCTCTGAGAACCAAATCATCTGGTGGGGTTTCCATGCCGGCAATTGTGGCGTCCCATCGGTTAAGAAACCTTCTAAGGTCCTCCACAGATTCTCCAGCGCGAACGACTCCAAGTAGGTCCTCGACGCGGTAGAGACTGCCAGCTTCCTCAGACGTCCTGAAGTAATCTTCAAACATCAAAAGGACTCTCCTACCTCTGACTTGGATCCCATTCTTTGACTTCTCATCTTTGAAGTTATGGATCTTTGTCGCTAAATCACCTTTGGCTGAGCGAGTTAACGCTGCCGACAGTTTGGTGTCAAGTGTGATAAACTTCCCAGGATCCTGCAGCTTTTCCTCCAACTTTTCCCTAGGGGTTTTGTTGTCAAAGACTTCATTGAGCCAAAGCCAAGCCTCATCGGGTTTGTCGGAGCACGATTTCACTTCATCCCTGACATGATTACGCCAGTGACGATAAGCTTCTGGGGCAGGCATGTCATTCAGTTTGATAGTCTCTGCCTCTTTTGTTCGGGGCTTTTCACCATCTGAATCCTTTGAAGTCAGTCTAGTGATGAGATCTAGCAATTGTTGACCTGAAAGACCTAAGCCTGCTTCAGCTGCTTTCTTGCCAGGGTCGCTTGCTATGACTGTAGGACTGGGCACACTATGATCTTGGTTTGCATCATCATCATTTTGTCTTTGAACTGGCAATGGTGGAAGTTTTGGAGGGGCTGCTGATCCGGCAGGGGTTGTTGAGAACAGGTTGCTCAACCTTTCCTTAGCGTCCATGGCTAAGCTACTCATACCAGTGTTTGGCATGGGTTCTGCTCCAGCCTTGGTACCGACCGCTGATTTTGGGGTCATGTACAAATCGACATTATTACCGCCTTGTGCATCATCAACTTCGACGGCTCTGTCGACACTGATTTCCGGGGCGCTGTACTTATTGAGCTTCTCCATCAAATCCTCGACTTGTCCCTGCAATTGGAAATTGAGTTCAGCAGCTTGGTTTTCCTGCCTACTGCATTCCTCTCTAATCTCCTGAATTACAGCTTGTTCCTCCTTCTTGAAACCTTCCATGCCATTCTTTGCATACTCCACTGTTTCGTCCACGATTCGTTTACAGTCTGCCTCGAGGCTACCTCTGAGTTCAGAAAACCTTTGTTCGTACTGGGCTGTAATATGGGCTACCTTTTGGTTGGCTCTTTGTTCAGCTTCCAGTGCAACCGCATTTGCAGCGTTCTTTAGCTTTGCGTTTGCATCGCTAAGTTCCTGTCTCAGTTTTGCTACCTCATGCTCAGCTGCCGTTTGGGACACTGAATACTCTGACACTAGGTGTTCATGTCTGCGATCCGCTTCTGCACGTTGATGGGCAATTTCGCTAAGGCAAACTCCCTCAAACTCTTGGTACAGTTGCTGGACCTTTTGCTCCATGAGATGTGTGTGCCTCTCCTCCGCCTCTTGCCTGAAAGCATCAATGTTACCTTCGTTGATGTAGGTAAGATTGTTTTGCACGAACTGGAAATATGCTTGCACGGGCTGTGTGAAGAAACCTTCATCCACTGACATGGGCGTGGGGTTTGTCCCAGCCGGCAAGCTTTGTTGTGATCCAGTTGTTGCAACCGTTGCTCCAGACGAGGGGACAAGGGCGCCTCCACCGGAGGTGTCTCCAGTTGTCCTTTCCATGGCTTTAAGAGACTACGGCTGATAACCTGTATTTTCAGGTTTCAGCAAGGGTTAACCTAGTTATACCCAAATGGACTGATAAACCTAAAAGGGACAAATACCGTTAAGCTAGCGGCGCACAAGCTACTTTTTACCTGAGCCGCAATGCTAGTAAGCATACTATGATACAGCTATGTTTTATGTGGGATGCAAATACAGATGTACCTATGAATATTTATGTAAACAATGATATACCATAATAATGTGTCCCATGTTTGTAGGACTAGGATCTGTGGATATCCCATCTTTGGAGTGTACATGTAGAGCAATATAATATCACTTACAACTTGTACCTGAATATCACGTGATATCATCTGCAGCAAACTTGTAGCACTAATATCACTGAATATCATCCACACTGAAAATATGAATAATATGAAGGTGACTAGTTTCAAGTGACCAAGCAATCTATGGTCTCATCCGCCAAATGACAGATTTGGGGCTAACAGAAATTGGCCAAATCAGGATGTGCCACTCCATTTCTCAGCAATGATTTGGGGGCCAGATTTTGTTGCGCTGAAACCTCTTTTGCCACAGGGCACTGGTATCCAAATCGGAACGGGAAAGGGCAAGTGTCCGTAAAGCTCTTAAAGAATTCTCTTTCATGTGTATGTCACAGGTGAGACAAATATGAACTTCTTCTAACTGCACCAAGCTTCGCTTTGCGCCCAAGTCCGGCCACCAATGCCGCAAACAACGGCGTCGTGGGCGCCAACGCATGTCACTAACATGGCCTTTCAGCCCCTCCTGGTGCGGACAGAATCTGCATCACAGCCCAGGGCCGGCAGACCACAAACAAACGTTGCCTGAAATGGCTTGGAGAAAGCATCTGTTAGGTGTATTTTTGCATAGAATAGCACTTTCATATATTTTCAGTGTTTTCGGCTTGACAACAATTCCAGTGAAGCTTACCTGTAACAGCGATTCCGCAAGCATGCTGATTCTGAAAATCCCTCCAATCCCACAGTATTTGAGGTGTACATTGCCCAGCCAAGACACATGGATGCTGCACTGCATACTACCTCTCATGAGATGATGCTGAATTCCAAAAATCATCCCAGGAATCCTCGATTTCGACTTGCAGGTCTTTTCCGAAGGAACCTGGTGGCTGGACAGTGATGGCATAGATAGTACCTACCATGAAGAATAGCCCTACTCGAAGGAATATCATAGAAAATCACAAGGTATCTCTATCATATTACCTTCTTTCCCCTTTTGAATATATGTTTGCCGGTGAAAACATCTTAAAACCCCATTTTTGTGGATGATTTTCACCGCAGGTGGCAATGGATATCCTGCAACTGCCAAGAAGCCCAGAGATTCTGAGAGGCGGAAAAGTTCCTTGAGGCTCAGTCGGCTCATAGACCCGAAATCCACATGTTGCCTCAGCGACCGATGGCCTGCTATCCATTGACATCCATGGTGGCCAAATGTCTAGAGGGTATTGTGGAATTAAGATGATTGAAGAATGAATCCAACGAGCACATGATGCTTGGGCCAACCATCTCCAAGCAGTGAACAGGGTGAAAGGATTTGAAATCACCAACCATCTGTGCCACCTGTCCTTGCTACTAACCCTTGGTCTTAGATGAATGGAAATTGAATGAAATTGAGGCTCAAATCGAATGTCTGACTTGGTGCCCTGCTTCCCCAAAACTTGCTCCCTTGAGCAGCTAGGTGTTCTCAAACTCCAGATTCATGAAGGCCGCAACCAAATGGCAATCGAACCCATCTTTGAGGGCAATCTGTGGTTGATACCATAAACATCCATAAACATCCATAAACATCCATAAACAACAAATCAAAGCAGCTACCAAAGGGATTGGGCTCCCAGGTTACCAAAAGATGACAGCACAAATACCAGGAACTTGGGTACAAGTTGAGTGTCAAAAATGAGGTCCATGCTTAACCCACAGAAATCATATGTTTGGTACAATAGTTCATCCATGTTTGCGATTAGAGATAATTTCGAGATATGTTTGACATTGTTTGACATATTTTTGGGGCTATAATGTTGATCCATGTGCCCAACTCAATTCTCTCTCCCAAGGTTGGAGTCTGAACTTGCTATCTTTCCCACTTTCAGGGGACCAACCCTCTCTGCAAGGGGCAGCAAAGCTCCGGCATCACGTCCTCGTTCCATGCACTGGTGCCACCGAAGTACGGCTTCCAGGACTGTCTCCTTCATTGGAGAAAGAAAAACAGCATGTTTTTTTGGATTTGGCCATCCAAACAGAATGACGGGGTATCTAAATGTATAGGGATTATAGGGTCTCCTCTTAATCTACCCTCACACACGAAGCCGACCATTTATTGGCAGAAGGCACTGTGCTCGTATAGAATTTCAAAGGATGAAAGTCGATGTTGTAAGTCTGTTTCCAACGTGATTCGCAGAATCTGGGATGTACTGAAGCTGGATTTCGAAGGTGAACTGGGACAGCGACCATTAGGAACAAAAAAATAAAAAAATGGAAAAGTCTATCCCTGGATACATGTTATTTGTTGAAAAAGTCAGTGTTTTTGGCATGCTAACATGTTGAATGTGAAATTGCAATCGTGCGCCTGCATAAACATCAAGTGGCTCCATCAAAAAAAACACGAGGTCACTCATCCAAAAAAGGTGGAAAAAAACACTCATCCTCATGTTGCCAGGATTAGAACCGCCAGTAAAAGCTGCCCCCAGCAGCTGCATCTTTCACAGCCCCAGGCCCCAGCTGCCTCGCGGTCCACCTTGAGATCTTCCCTTCGCAGGATGCGACCCAGCTGGGCGGCCGAGAGTTTACCTCGCAGCTTCATTTTTTGCAACATGCGCCGGAGCCGGTGGCGAGAATTTGTTGGGATCCAGACTCCAAACGAAGGTTCAACTGACATTGACAAAGACTCTACAACAACTGAGAAGTTGAGAAAGTTGAGAAAGGGTTTTCAAACAATTCTTGGAAGCACAGTTGTTTCGGGCTGTTGAAGCCATACAAAACCTTTCTTCGAGGCTATCCGAGCTGCCAAAGGATTCGGCCTTTGAACACTCTTCCAGATTGTTGGCCAAGAACAGCTCACATCCTTGGACTCCAACTCACTGGGACTCTGGGGTGTGGCGCTCTGGGCGAGATAGCATAAATCCTGGATGGTTTGAGTCATCACAACTGGCAAGGATTGTGGACTATCTAATGTCATTCACTATCAAATCATCAAACGCAGCAAGATCACAATCATTTTCACAGGTCATGAGAGCAAAGTCTTCAAGAAAACGCCATGGATTCATCAAACAAGTCATGATTGGTTAGTTTTTACGGAGGACAGCTCACCATAGGACCATAACACAGGTGGTGTTTTTGCCACGGCTCTAGTGTGGAGTTGTCGAAGCCCTAAATCCTGGCTGCTTGGATCATGACCCAACCCCCTCATGGATCCTGGCTGGTTTTGTTTCAAATCTCATTTCAGAGTGGCTGGTGGAATGGTCTCTGAAGTCTCACCATCTCACCATCTCACCATCTACAAGGGATATCTTCAAATCTGTGCAGGTCAAATTTAGGGGTACCGCAAGAATGTGATGGGCTTAACCATCACAAAGCATCATGTTCCCTCTTATCTCCCCACTTCAAAACCCAATCACCAACAGTCTCCCGTACCTTTCCTTACATCAAATGGCCTATCTTTTTCATCAAGTTTTTTTTTCGGTGATCATGGTCTTTTTCCTTACATCAAATGGCCCTTTTTTTTTAGGGCCTAGATTCCTAGATGGGGATGGGTCAAAACCCTGTACCCCTGTAGTTCACATCAAAATAGCTGGGATTTATGGATGTTCATCCCCCTAAAAATGGTATTAATAGGTATTGATCCATACCCAGATCTTTCTCAGTTTTGGTGATCGCCAGTTCCAATGATTCCAATGTTCGCCGCTGGTCCTGGCTGAGGATCAGACTGGTGGCCACGGACCAGGGCTGCAGGGATGGTCCAATGGCCGGTTCCAACAGCTCCACCAGACGCATCAGACCCAAACGATGTGCCACCGGCAACCTGGAAAATGCGGATGGTCACGTCCGGGGATGGCTTGTGATGTTTGAAGAGGGATATTATATATATATATAATATATATATATATATATAGTCTATATATATATAATTATATACATAATAATAGATCATAATAGTCTCTTTATAAAACTGGGGATAGAGAAAGCAAACAACATTTAGCTAGTTGAGGGTGATATGTGGGATAAGGAGTGGAACTTCGCCGTGAAATTTGGAGCACAGGCACAGTTCAAGTCCCGTCTCGATGAAATTTGGAGCACAGGCACAGTTCAAGTCCCGTCTCGATGAAATTTGGAGCACAGGCACAGTTCAAGTCCCGTCTCGATGGTGATCACCGGCTCTGCTCCGTAGATGAACTCCTGAGCCAACTCGAAGGCTGTAGATCCTCTGGGGATGAGTCAACCTTGCTATACCCATGTGTGCCCCTAAATCTAGCGGTTTATCTTCATTTTCCGTGGAAAAAGGCAAGTTTTGTGGAGGGGATCACCCCTTTTTTTCCACAAATCATGACACAGCAATCCATCTATCGATCATCTGATTGGGTATAGGACCCGGTATTTCCAACCCACCACATTGAAGACTCAAAGCGACATGGAAAATTCATGGTATATCAATGGGGAAGATTAATGGACTATTAATATATACCTTGAGAGTCCATTAATAGTCCATTGATATACCATTAATAGTCCATTGGTATACCATATTCATGGACTATTAATGGACTCTCAATGAGAATATCATCGGAATACAATGCTTAATCATCCTGTGACCTGGGGTCCCCAAGCCTGACCCAGGTCGCCACATGGACACCTTTTTAGCACGCATATCCAAGCATCCAGCACGGCCAGCAGCACGTTGGAGGGGACTTCCACCTTCACCGGCTCACCTTTCCGCACCTGATCGCCCTCGGCAGATTGGCCATTCACCAAAGCACCAAGTTCGTCACTGCCACTGGCCAGAATCAGGCGATGTACTGGGAACCTGAGGCAGGGCCCCCTAGGGGGACCATTTGGGCTTTGGAAAACAGATCTCTTTAAACAGTCATCAATGATTAATCAAACATTCAGCAAATATAAAGGTGATGTTCAACCCATGGTGTGGCTAATCCTTGAAATCCAACTGCCAACTACCCATGCCGTCCTAGCGACTCGGTGCCGTCGGCACTGACCAACAAAGCGTCGCAGAGCGCTCCTTCCTGCCAGAACTTCCTCATCTGCTTCAGCAACCCCTCCGGAGCGGGGCGGAATCGCAAGTGAAGAATGAGCTAAATCCCAAATTCTGAGCGGCTTATAATGTTGATGTGCATCTCGCACCCAAACTTGAAGTACACCTGGAGATGATTCAAGATTTTGCAGGAAGCCACAATCTTTCGGTCATGTTCTTTCATGTTCAAACCCATCCTATTTTGAGATGTTCTTGGGGTGCATCCGAATCCAAACTGTAAAGTCTGGCCGCCTGGCCTTCCTCTAGATTTAGATCATCTTGCGGATATACGATTTCCTTCAAACAAAAAAAAGTCCTCAAATCAAACCTATTTTGAGTACAACCAGTACAACCAAACTACGTTACCCCAACAAAAACATCCTCTTCCCATCCACACCCTTCGCCGTCGCCTCCGCGTAGGCCGCCTTATCTGGGCGGCCCAGGCAAATGCATTGGGGCGGGATCGCATCCTCAGCGGGCAGGGTTCTAAGAGATCTACATTGGGAGATCATATCTGTAGAATCTATTTCATATCATTCTATGTAAGAGGTATACATATATATATATATATAGTAAATATGAGAGAGAGAGAGAGGCAGAGAAAATCTGTCAGTCGATCATCAACAAATATGTAGTGGACATACCCAAGATGGGGGACATCTCGGAAATGTTCCTCGTCGGATGCAGCCGTTGCCGCCTTCGATTTCTCCAAGGATCCTCTGGCTCGTCTCGTTCAGCCACCTCAGCGGCTTTCGGATGACTCCCATGTAGCTGAAAGATTGGAGAGTAGCGCCTTGGTGTATCCCATAGGGACCTTAGGGACTATATTTCCCACATATATAGATATATAAATAACTATATATATATATATACACGTATAGTTACATATGTGTATACATTTACATATATACATATATCCGCCGACCCCGGCCGACGCAAGGGGGAGCGCGTAAGGGAAGAAGATGGAAGAAAAGGATTTGCAGCAGCCAGCAGGCATACTTGCAGCAGCCAGCAGGCATGTGAGGCAGCAGCAGCAGCAGCAGCATTGAGCAAGAGCAACAGCAACAGAACTAGCAACAGCAACAGCAGCAACAACAACAAGAACAACAAGAACAACAACAACAACAACAACAACAACAAGAAGAAGAAGAAGAAGAACAACAACAACAACAACAATAACAACAACAACAACAAGAAGAACAAGAACAACAACAACCACAAAGACAAACATAAACCCAAACAACAACAAACAACAATAACAAACAACACCAAACAACAACAAAGAACAAGAAACAACAAGAAACAACAACCAACAACAACTAACCATGACCCTTTGCCGGGGGACTCTGTTGGGTCCCCCTCCCACCGGTCACGTACCTCGATTCCCTGACTCCGGGGTTTTTGTTTCACCGGTGGGGGGTCCTTCCCGGAGTCTCCTCGAAGTACGTGGGGCTCCTCGGGTTGCCTTTCCCGCCTGCCCTTTTTTTGGGTTCATGGTTGGTGGCTTCTTCGTCCTTCACTGCCATGGTGTTTCAGGCTGGCGGGTCTGGCGTTTTGGCGTGTCAGAAGCTGTAAGTTGAAAAGCAGCAAGAGGAAAAAGCAACCAAAATCATCATTTTCTATTGGTTTCAGAAGTTACGTTAGGCATTTTCGGGGTGTAGTTTTGGAGCTTCTCCGTCCTTCACTGCCATTGTGTTTTCCAATCCGGGGAACAGCAGCAGCAGTAGCAAAAGCTTCTGCAGCAGCAGGAAAAGGTAGCCAAAATTCATAGCAGCAGCAAGAGGAAAAAGTAGCCAAAATCATCATTTTCTATGGGTCTCAGAAGTTACGTTAGGCATTTTGGGGGCGCAATTTTGGGGCTTCTCCGTCCTTCAGAGGCATGGTGTTTTGCTGCCGGGAGGTGATTTTTTCCATCGTGTTTTCCCATTTGGGGACCGGATGTAAAGGTGGCCAAAATTCATAGCAGCAGCAAGAGGAAAAAGGAGCCAAAAGCATCATTTTCTATCGGTTTCAGAAGTTACGTTAGGCATTTTCGGGGTGCAATTTTGGGGCTTCTCCGTCCTTCAGAGGCATGGTGTTTTGCTGCCGGGAGGTGATTTTTTCCATGGTGTTTTCCCATTTGGGGACCGGATGTAAAGGTGGCCAAAAGTCATAGCAGCAGCAAGAGGAAAAAGGAGCCAAAAGCATCATTTTCTATTTTCTATCGGTTTCAGAAGTTACGTTAGGCATTTTCGAGGTGCAATTTTGGGGCTTCTCCGTCCTTCAGAGGCATAGTGTTTTGCTGCCGGGAGGTGATTTTTTCCATGGTGTTTTCCCATTTGGGAACCAGGTGTGTTCCCATTTGGGGAACGGATGTAAAAGGTAGCCAAAATTCATAGCAGCAGCAAGAGGAAAAAGAAGCTAAAAGCATCATTTTCTATCGGTTTCAGAAGTTACGTTAGGCATTTTCGAGGTGCAATTTTGGGGCTTCTCCGTCCTTTAGAGGCATGGTGTTTTGCTGCCGGGAGGTGATTTTTTCCATCGTGTTTTCCCATTTCGGGACCGGATGTAAAGGTTGCCAACATTCATAGCAGCAGCAAGAGGAAAAAGGAGCCAAAAGCATCATTTTCTATCGGTTTCAGAAGTTACGTTAGGCATTTTCGAGGTGCAATTTTGGGGCTTCTCCGTCCTTCAGAGGCATGGTGTTTTGCTGCCGGGAGGTGATTTTTTCCATGGTGTTTTCCCATTTGGGAACCAGGTGTGTTCCCATTTGGGGAACGGATGTAAAAGGTAGCCAAAATTCATAGCAGCAGCAAGAGGAAAAAGAAGCTAAAAGCATCATTTTCTATCGGTTTCAGACGTTACGTTAGGCATTTTCGAGCTCTCGACAATCTCTCTCTCGACAATCTCTCTCGACAATCGACAAATGCTTTTTTTCTAGGATTTCAGACGACACGTTAGGGAGTTTTTTCGCGTGGTTTTGGACCTTGCTCGTCCTTCAGAGCCATGGTGTTTTGCTGCCGGGAGCTGCTTTTTTCGAAGCTGTTTTACCGGCATCAGCAGCAGCAGCCGCCGCCACCAGTTCTGCGAGCAGCCGCAGGCAACAGAATCTGTCGATCTGTCGACAAATGCTGTTTTTCTAGATTTCCAGACGACACGTTAGGGAGTTTTTTCGCGTGGTTTTGGACCTTGCTCGTCCGTCCGAGCCATGGTGTTTTGCTGCCGGGAGCTGCTTTTTTCGAAGCTGTTTTACCGGCATCAGCAGCAGCAGCCGCCGCCACCAGTTCTGCGAGCAGCAGCAGGTAACAGAATCTTTCGACCTTGCTCGTCCTTCAGAGCCATGGTGTTTTGCTGCCAGGGGCTGCTTTTTTCGAAGCTGTTTTACCGGCATCAGCAGCAGCAACCGTCGCCACCAGTCCTGCGAGCAGCTGCAAGCGACAGAATCTTCTTCAAAGCCATTTTCTATCGGTTTCAGAAGTTACGTTAGGCATTTTCGAGGTGCAATTTTGGGGCTTCTCCGTCCTTCAGAGGCATAGTGTTTTGCTGCCGGGAGGTGATTTTTTCCATGGTGTTTTCCCATTTGGGAACCAGGTGTGTTCCCATTTGGGGAACGGATGTAAAAGGTAGCCAAAATTCATAGCAGCAGCAAGAGGAAAAAGAAGCTAAAAGCATCATTTTCTATCGGTTTCAGAAGTTACGTTAGGCATTTTCGAGGTGCAATTTTGGGGCTTCTCCGTCCTTTAGAGGCATGGTGTTTTGCTGCCGGGAGGTGATTTTTTCCATCGTGTTTTCCCATTTCGGGACCGGATGTAAAGGTTGCCAAAATTCATAGCAGCAGCAAGAGGAAAAAGGAGCCAAAAGCATCATTTTCTATCGGTTTCAGAAGTTACGTTAGGCATTTTCGAGGTGCAATTTTGGGGCTTCTCCGTCCTTCAGACGCATGGTGTTTTGCTGCCGGGAGGTGATTTTTTCCATGGTGTTTTCCCATTTGGGAACCAGGTGTGTTCCCATTTGGGGAACGGATGTAAAAGGTAGCCAAAATTCATAGCAGCAGCAAGAGGAAAAAGAAGCTAAAAGCATCATTTTCTATCGGTTTCAGACGTTACGTTAGGCATTTTCGAGCTCTCGACAATCTCTCTCTCGACAATCTCTCTCGACAATCGACAAATGCTTTTTTTCTAGGATTTCAGACGACACGTTAGGGAGTTTTTTCGCGTGGTTTTGGACCTTGCTCGTCCTTCAGAGCCATGGTGTTTTGCTGCCGGGAGCTGCTTTTTTCGAAGCTGTTTTACCGGCATCAGCAGCAGCAGCCGCCGCCACCAGTTCTGCGAGCAGCCGCAGGCAACAGAATCTGTCGATCTGTCGACAAATGCTGTTTATCTAGATTTCCAGACGACACGTTAGGGAGTTTTTTCGCGTGGTTTTGGACCTGGCTCGTCCTTCCGAGCCATGGTGTTTTGCTGCCGGGAGCTGCTTTTTTCGAAGCTGTTTTACCGGCATCAGCAGCAGCAGCCGTCGCCACCAGTCCTGCGAGCAGCTGCAAGCGACAGAATCTTCTTCAAAGCCATTTTCTATCGGTTTCAGAAGTTACGTTAGGCATTTTCGAGGTGCAATTTTGGGGCTTCTCCGTCCTTCAGAGGCATGGTGTTTTGCTGCCGGGAGGTGATTTTTTCCATGGTGTTTTCCCATTTGGGAACCAGGTGTGTTCCCATTTGGGGAACGGATGTAAAAGGTAGCCAAAATTCATAGCAGCAGCAAGAGGAAAAAGAAGCTAAAAGCATCATTTTCTATCGGTTTCAGAAGTTACGTTAGGCATTTTCGAGGTGCAATTTTGGGGCTTCTCCGTCCTTTAGAGGCATGGTGTTTTGCTGCCGGGAGGTGATTTTTTCCATCGTGTTTTCCCATTTGGGAACCAGGTGTGTTCCCATTTGGGGAAGGATGTAAAAGGTAGCCAAAATTCATAGCAGCAGCAAGAGGAAAAAGAAGCTAAAGCATCATTTTCTATCGGTTTCAGAAGTTACGTTAGGCATTTTCGAGGTGCAATTTTGGGGTTCTCCGTCCTTTAGAGGCATGGTGTTTTGCTGCCGGGAGGTGATTTTTTCCATCGTGTTTTCCCATTTCGGGACCGGATGTAAAGGTTGCCAAAATTCATAGCAGCAGCAAGAGGAAAAAGGAGCCAAAAGCATCATTTTCTATCGGTTTCAGAAGTTACGTTAGGCATTTTCGAGGTGCAATTTTGGGGCTTCTCCGTCCTTCAGAGGCATGGTGTTTTGCTGCCGGGAGGTGATTTTTTCCATGGTGTTTTCCCATTTGGGAACCAGGTGTGTTCCCATTTGGGGAACGGATGTAAAAGGTAGCCAAAATTCATAGCAGCAGCAAGAGGAAAAAGAAGCTAAAAGCATCATTTTCTATCGGTTTCAGACGTTACGTTAGGCATTTTCGAGCTCTCGACAATCTCTCTCTCGACAATCTCTCTCGACAATCGACAAATGCTTTTTTTCTAGGATTTCAGACGACACGTTAGGGAGTTTTTTCGCGTGGTTTTGGACCTTGCTCGTCCTTCAGAGCCATGGTGTTTTGCTGCCGGGAGCTGCTTTTTTCGAAGCTGTTTTACCGGCATCAGCAGCAGCAGCCGCCGCCACCAGTTCTGCGAGCAGCCGCAGGCAACAGAATCTCTCGACAAATGCTGTTTTTCTAGATTTCTAGATTTCAGACGACACGTTAGGGAGTTTTTTCGCGTGGTTTTGGACCTTGCTCGTCCTTCCGAGCCATGGTGTTTTGCTGCCGGGAGCTGCTTTTTTCGAAGCTGTTTTACCGGCATCAGCAGCAGCAGCCGCCGCCACCAGTTCTGCGAGCAGCCGCAGGTAACAGAATCTTTCGACCTTGCTCGTCCTTCAGAGCTATGGTGTTTTGCTGCCGGGGGCTGCTTTTTTCGAAGCTGTTTTACCGGCATCAGCAGCAGCAACCGTCGCCACCAGTCCTGCGAGCAGCTGCAAGCGACAGAATCTTCTTCAAAGCCATTTTCTATCGGTTTCAGAAGTTACGTTAGGCATTTTCGAGGTGCAATTTTGGGGCTTCTCCGTCCTTCAGAGGCATAGTGTTTTGCTGCCGGGAGGTGATTTTTTCCATGGTGTTTTCCCATTTGGGAACCAGGTGTGTTCCCATATAGGGAACGGATGTAAAAGGTAGCCAAAATTCATAGCAGCAGCAAGAGGAAAAAGAAGCTAAAAGCATCATTTTCTATCGGTTTCAGAAGTTACGTTAGGCATTTTCGAGGTGCAATTTTGGGGCTTCTCCGTCCTTTAGAGGCATGGTGTTTTGCTGCCGGGAGGTGATTTTTTCCATCGTGTTTTCCCATTTCGGGACCGGATGTAAAGGTTGCCAAAATTCATAGCAGCAGCAAGAGGAAAAAGGAGCCAAAAGGCATCATTTTCTCCTCGTTTCAGAAGTTAACGTTAGGCATTTTTCGAGGTGCAATTTTTGGGGCTTCTCCCGTCCTTCAGAGGATGGTGTTTTGCTGCCGGGAGGTTGATTTTTTTCCATGGTGTTTTTCCCTTTGGGAACCAGGTGTGTTCCCATTTGGTGAACGATTTAAAAAGGTAGCCAAAATTCATAGCAGCAGCAAGAGTAAAAGAAAGCTAAAAGCATCATTTTTCTATCGTTTTCAGAAGTTACGTTAGGCATTTTCCGGTGCAATTTTGGGGCTTCTCCGTCCTTAGAGGCATGGTGTTTTGCTGCCGTAGGTTAAATTTTTTTTCCATCGTGTTTTCCCATTTCGGGACCGGATGTAAAGGTTGCCAAAATTCATAGCAGCAGCAAGAGGAAAAAGGAGCCAAAAGCATCATTTTCTATCGGTTTCAGAAGTTACGTTAGGCATTTTCGAGGTGCAATTTTGGGGCTTCTCCGTCCTTCAGACGCATGGTGTTTTGCTGCCGGGAGGTGATTTTTTCCATGGTGTTTTCCCATTTGGGAACCAGGTGTGTTCCCATTTGGGGAACGGATGTAAAAGGTAGCCAAAATTCATAGCAGCAGCAAGAGGAAAAAGAAGCTAAAAGCATCATTTTCTATCGGTTTCAGACGTTACGTTAGGCATTTTCGAGCTCTCGACAATCTCTCTCTCGACAATCTCTCTCGACAATCGACAAATGCTTTTTTTCTAGGATTTCAGACGACACGTTAGGGAGTTTTTTCGCGTGGTTTTGGACCTTGCTCGTCCTTCAGAGCCATGGTGTTTTGCTGCCGGGAGCTGCTTTTTTCGAAGCTGTTTTACCGGCATCAGCAGCAGCAGCCGCCGCCACCAGTTCTGCGAGCAGCCGCAGGCAACAGAATCTGTCGATCTGTCGACAAATGCTGTTTTTCTAGATTTCCAGACGACACGTTAGGGAGTTTTTTCGCGTGGTTTTGGACCTTGCTCGTCCGTCCGAGCCATGGTGTTTTGCTGCCGGGAGCTGCTTTTTTCGAAGCTGTTTTACCGGCATCAGCAGCAGCAGCCGCCGCCACCAGTTCTGCGAGCAGCCGCAGGTAACAGAATCTTTCGACCTTGCTCGTCCTTCAGAGCCATGGTGTTTTGCTGCCGGGGGCTGCTTTTTTCGAAGCTGTTTTACCGGCATCAGCAGCAGCAGCCGCAGGCAACAGAATCTCTCGACAAATGCTGTTTTTCTAGATTTTTCTAGATTTCCAGACGACACGTTAGGGAGTTTTTTCGCGTGGTTTTGGACCTTGCTCGTCCTTCCGAGCCGGGAGCTGCTTTTTTCGAAGCTGTTTTACCGGCATCAGCAGCAGCAGCCGCCGCCACCAGTTCTGCGAGCAGCCGCAGGTAACAGAATCTTTCGACCTTGCTCGTCCTTCAGAGCCATGGTGTTTTGCTGCCGGGGGCTGCTTTTTTCGAAGCTGTTTGACCGGCATCAGCAGCAGCAACCGTCGCCACCAGTCCTGCGAGCAGCTGCAAGCGACAGAATCTTCTTCAAAGCCATGGTGTTTTACTGCCGGGAGATGCTTTGTTCGAAGCTGTTTTCCCGCGAGCAGCTGCAGGCAACCGAATCTCTCGACAAATGCTTTTTTTCTAGGATTTCAGACGACATGTTAGGGAGTTTTTTCGCGTGCTTCTGGACCTTGCTCGTCCTTCCGAGCCATGGTGTTTTGCTGCCGGGAGCTACTTTTTTCGAAGCTGTTTTACCGGCATCAGCAGCAGCCGCCGCCACCAGTTCTGCGAGCAGCCGCAGGCAACAGAATCTCTCGACAATCTCTCGACAATGCGCTGTTTTTCTAGGATTTCAGACGACACGTTAGGGAGTTTTTTGGCGTGGTTCTGGACCTTGCTCGTCCTTCAGAGCCATGGTGTTTTGCTGCCGGGAGCTGCTTTTTTCGAAGCTGGTTTCCTGGCATCAGCAGCAGCAGCCGCCGCCACCAGTCGTGCGAGCAGCCGTAGGCGACAGAATCTCTCGACAATCGACAAATGCTGTTTTTCTATGCTGTTTCTATGCTGTTTTTTTGCTGTTTTTCTAGCACATTTTTTCTAGCATTTCAAACGAGACTATACCTATATCCGGTCCTTGTGGAAGTTGTCCAGCATGATGCAGAAGAGGCCCAGGACCAGAGGGGTCGGCGGCAAGGGCGGCAGCCCTTAAATATATATAGAGAGAGAGAGAGTTACATAACATCCTGATATATCCCAGTTCTGCTGGAAGTCTTAGCCACTTGCGAACCCTTCACTGATTGTAATTCCGCCGAGGATCACTAGCCGCGGGGCTGGCGTAGCCCAATTGCTCGAACATGGCGAGGGGCCGAAGGGAAAGCTCAGCGCAGCTGCCAGTGGTTACTGGGATTTTTTTGTTGTTCTTCCATGTTACCAGATATCATGGCTGTTTCTGCCAGTGGTAACTGGATATTCCATCAACTGGGATTTTTTCTTTGAGGGTCCAGACATTCGATTGTTGAATGAGATCTTTCGCAATCGACCATTGCTGCACATGGACTTTGACTTAGAAGTGTCATTGAAATCTTTGAAGCTGAGGGATTTCGTCAATGAACCTGTCTTGGTGAGGGCATCTGCAAGAGCAATTGGTTTCAACATGTTTCAACTGGCCACCCTGTGGAGAAACTCAGAGTATCATACGCATTTTTGATGCAAGTCCTAGGGAGGCAGCCCGGAGGTAATTCCCAAACAATAATCTTAGGTTAATCAATGGGGATTAATAGTGGTTAATAGTGATTAATAGTGGTAAATAATGATAATTAATGGTGATTAATGGTGATTTACCCTCTGGTAAGGGTAAACTAACAATTTGCTATTGAAAATTGCCATTTATACTGGATTTTCCCATTAATAGCATGGTGATTTTCCATAGCTATGTTAAATTACCAGAGGGTATATGAAATATATTGAAATATCATGCTAGATTCCCTTGCCAAGTGATACTTGGAAAGGGCTACTCATACCATACTAATTAATTCCATCTAATGCCACTGCTACAACGAAGCAAACTTGTTTGCAGAGTCCAGCTCTCTCACCTCTCATGTCACCTGCCGCTTGGGACGGATGTTTTTTATCCCGCTTTCACCGCCAGTCCGCGGATGTGCCTCGAAACTCCATGAAGGGGTAAGTGTAACCACCATCCCAACCTTCCCCTGGAGCCCTGCCTCTTCCCCATTTTCCCCAGCTTCCCATCATATGCCCCATATCCCCCATCCCCTTCATATCCCCAAAGATCAAATCCCAGGCACGGCGTGAGCGGCCCATTGAAGGCTTCATCATAGGCCACACACTCCACTGATGCCCATGGGAGGGCACGGATCTCCTTCTCAGTGTCACCTCAGGCCGTTCAGCGATGGTTTTGTCCATGAGACCATGAGATTTGGGCCAATCTATCTTCGCAGAAAGCCACCCGTTTCCACCCTTTTACCACGTTAGTAAATGGAGGGTACACCACAATTTCACCACCCAAAAATGATTTCAATCCCAATGGAAAATAGAAGGACCCCTGTTCTGAGTTCGACGGATCCAATGGTGAATAGGTGGCTTCGGTGGCTGTTGATATCCCAACAACTCCCAGCATCAACTCTTCGTGTCATTTGGCTCTCTCTGAAAATATCGCCCCCCCAGTTCCAAAAAATATCACCATGTTCCCTATAAAATATCCCATTATATCCCTATCAATTCCATTAAATCGCCATTCATTGGTGATTTCCCCATATTTTCCCCATTTATAGATGATTGATATATCTCCATAAATAGATATAAATGCCATGTTTTCAACATGAACCATCCTCCACCCGCCCAGTTGGTAGCCCAGTCGCGCGCCATGTCGCAGTTGTTGGCCATGGCTTGTTGTACCGGGCGCAGCACCTCCTTCGGTGTTTCAAATTTTCTCTGCGATACATGGCATACCCTACGAACATGTTGGTTTAATGGAGATATTGGACATATCATGGAAATATCGAGATATTGGACATATCATGGAAATATCATGGATTTAATTCAATGGTTTCAATGGTGTTTTGATGGAGGTTTTTGTTTCGGAAAACCCCGCGATTTTCCTGGTGGTTGAATGGGGATCTCATGGAGATATCGTGGACATCTCATGGAATATGGCCATTTTTCCATAGGCAATTGTCTAGAAATGGGTACCATGGCGATGTTAAATTACCAGGGGGTAACATGAGTGCAGTTTATCCTAGCAGTTCACTTGAGATTCACCCGGCCAAGTGATACATCCTGAGTGACGCGAAGGGGACTTCCGTCTTCGGCGGCCACATGCTCAATGAAGACGAAAACGCCACCTGACGGTTTTCGTGGCGAAAATTTCGGTGGTGATCCAAGAAACCAGACCTGATTTTGACCATTCGAAGGGTTGTTGTAAATCTAGGAAAAGTGAGGTGTATTGTTGCGTTTGCCACGAAAAATTGGGTGTCAATGATTTCCTGAAAAGGACAAACATTTGAAAAGGTGACCGATTGATATTCACATCCACTTACCCAGAGAGGTTGCTCGATTTTCACATTGGACCATCCGCAGTTATCCCTCAAGTGTATACTTATGTATTGCAGTAACAGGTTTCAAACGGAAAATGCAATTGCAAAAAATGAACAAAAAAAAGTAACCCGGGCAGAAAAAAAAGCAAAAAAGTACAATTGAAACGTGATGGATTGGAAAGCACCAAAAAGTAACTTTGGCAGAAATGAAAAAACAAAACGAAAAAAAAAAAACATCAAAAAATATACAGTAAGTGATTTTAAACACAGAATGCTCGGCCCCTTGGACAGGAGTAAAATGAAGTAGACATGTTCTGGTAAAATATAGAAATGTTTGTGCTTATTGGGAAGGGGTGCACTTGCAGCTTGTTTGTGTGTGTGTTTTTTCCGTGTCAATTCCTTTTGTTGCGTTCCTTCTGCCTCGGTTCCTCGTCCCTCCTTCCTTTCCCTTCATCCTTTTCCTCCTCTTTCCTCCCCTTTCCTCTCCTTCCTTTCCATTTCCTTTTTCCCTTCCTTTTCCCTTCCGTTTCCCTTCCTTTTCCCTTCTGTTTCCATTCCTTTTCCCTTCTGTTTCCATTCCTTTTCCCTTCTTCCTTTTCCCTACCTTTCCCTTTCCGTTCGGCTACTTTCCCGACCCGTTCCCTTGATGACAATGTTCAACCTTCCTTGCCAGATTGCTTGGCTGCCCCGGCACCACTTCCCGGTGCTGCGCGGTTGTTCACATTCACGGGGGTTGCTGCTTGCACATAGCCGGGGCTGAGCCATCCATGAGTATATGGGCAATATTTATTTGTTGCACTGAGATCTTAAAGCAGGCATCCCGTAATTTACTTGCATTCTTCCTATTTTGATTTGCTTTCCCGGTTTATTTTCATGCGTCTTGGTATGCGTTTGTTTCCATTGAGTTCTCCCTTTGTTCTGTTGTTTGGTTTCATTCACGTGTTTTTCGCTTTTGCTTTCATTGTTTGTTTACTTTTATGTTCACTATTGTTCCAATTCTTTAGTGTGTGCTTTCATTTTTTCCTGTGGCCTTTTTCTCATCACTGTTTCTTTACATTTTGTTTCCTTGCGTTTTTACATTCTTTTCATTGTTTTTCAAATAATTTTACAGATTTCCAGTCGAAGCCTGCAATTTAAAAAAAAAACATAAATGTATAACAGTATCCGCCGACCCCGGCCGACGCAAGGGGGAGCGCGTAAGGGAAGAAGATGGAAATTAGGTGGTGTTTTGCTGTTTCGGAAGCGTTTCGAAACAGTAGGCCCAGCCATAATATTGTTTAGGCGATTCTGGGGGATTCGGCCGAAACAGCTGGCCCAGCTACCGGAGATTCTGGGGGATTCGGCTGAAACGGTTGGCCCAGCTAGGATTCTCGAAGTAGGATCTAAACTAGGATCTAGATCTAGATCTAGGATTCTCTAGGATTTCAGAAGGGACGTTAGGCAGGTTTCTGTAATATTGTTGAGGCGATTCTAGGGATTCGGCCGAAACAGCTGGCCTAGCTACCGGAGATTCTGAGGGATTCGGCTGAAACGGCTGGCCCAGCTAGGATTCTCGAACTAGGATCTAAACTAGGATCTGGATCTAGATCTAGGATCTGGATCTAGATCTAGGATTCTCTAGGATTTCAGAAGGGACGTTAGGTAGTTTTCTGCCGCGATTTTTCGTTATTTTCGGCACGAAATTAGGTGGTGTTTTGCTGTTTCGGAACCGCTTCGAAACAGCAGGCCTAGCTGTAATATTGTTTAGGAGATTCTGGGGGATTCGGCCGAAGCAGCTGGCCTAGCAAGGATTCCCGAACTAGGATCTAGATCTAGATCTAGGATAGATCTAGAGATCTAGATCTAGGATTCTCTAGGATTTCAGAAGGGACGTTAGGCACTTTTTTGGCGTGGTTTTGGAACTAGCTCGTCCTTCTGAGCCATGGTGTTTTCCTGCCGGGAGCTGCTTTTATGCTTTTTTCGAAGTTGTTTTCGGAAAAAGGTTGTTTTTCTAGGATTTCAGAAGGGACGTTAGGCACTTTTTTTGCGTGGTTTTGGAACTAGTTCATCCTTCAGAGCCATGGTGTTTTCCTGCCGGGAGCTGCTTTTATGTTTTTTTCGAAGTTGTTTTCCTGCGAGCGGGCGCAGGCAACAGAAATTCTCGAAAAATGTTGTTTTTCTAGGATTTCAGACGGGATGTTAGGCACTTTTTTGGCGTGGTTTTGGAACTAGTTCGTCCTTCAGAGCCATGGTGTTTTCCTGCCGGGAGCTGCTTTTTTCGAAGTTGTTTTCCTGCGAGCGGCCGCAGGCAACAGAAATTCTCGAAAAAGGTTGTTTTATGTTGTTTTATGTTGTTTTTCTAAGATTTCAGAAGGGATGTTAGGCACTTTTTTGGCGTGGTTTTGGAACTAGTTCGTCCTTCAGAGCCATGGTGTTTTCCTGCCGGGAGCTGCTTTTATGTTTTTTTCGAAGTTGTTTTCCTGCGAGTGGGCGCAGGCAACAGAAATTCTCGAAAAATGTTGTTTTTCTAGGATTTCAGACGGGACGTTAGGCACTTTTTTGGCGTGGTTTTGGGACTAGTTCGTCCTTCAGAGCCATGGTGTTTTCCTGCCGGGTGCTGCTTTTTTCGAAGTTGTTTTCCTGCGAGCGGCCGCAGGCAACAGAAATTCTCGAAAAAGGTTGTTTTTCTAGGATGTCAGACGGGACGTTAGGTACTTTTTTGCCGTGGTTTTGGAACTAGTTCGTCCTTCAGAGCCATGGTGTTTTCCTGCCGGGAGCTGCTTTTTTCGCAGTTGTTTTCCTGCGAGCGGCCGCAGGCAACAGAAATTCTCGAAAAAGGTTGTTTTTCTAGGATTTCAGACGGGACGTTAGGTTGTTTTTCTAGGATGTCAGACGGGACGTTAGGTACTTTTTTGGCGTGGTTTTGGAACTAGTTCGTCCTTCAGAGCCATGGTGTTTTCCTGCCGGGAGCTGCTTTTTTCGCAGTTGTTTTCCTGCGAGCGGCCGCAGGCAACAGAAATTCTCGAAAAATGTTGTTTTTCTAGGATTTCAGACGGGACGTTAGGCACTTTTTTGGCGTGGTTTTGGAACTAGCTCGTCCTTCTGAGCCATGATGTTTTCCTGCCGGGAGCTGCTTTTTTCGAAGTTGTTTTCCTGCGAAAAAGGTTGTTCGTCCTTCAGAGCCATGGTGTTTTCCTGCCGGGAGCTGCTTTTATGCTTTTTTCGAAGTTGTTTTCGGAAAAAGGTTGTTTTTCTAGGATTTCAGAAGGGACGTTAGGCACTTTTTTGGCGTGGTTTTGGAACTAGTTCGTCCTTTAGAGCCATAGTGTTTTCCTGCCGGGAGCTGCTTTTATGTTTTTTTCGAAGTTGTTTTCCTGCGAGCGGGCGCAGGCAACAGAAATTCTCGAAAAATGTTGTTTTTCTAGGATTTCAGACGGGACGTTAGGCCCTTTTTTGGCGTGGTTTTGGAACTAGTTCGTCCTTCAGAGCCATGGTGTTTTCCTGCCGGGAGCTGCTTTTTTCGAAGTTGTTTTCCTGCGAGCGGCCGCAGGCAACAGAAATTCTCGAAAAAGGTTGTTTTATGTTGTTTTATGTTGTTTTTCTATGTTGTTTTATGTTGTTTTTCTAGGATTTCAGAAGAGACGTTAGGCACTTTTTTGGCGTGGTTTTGGAACTAGTTCGTCCTTCAGAGCCATGGTGCTTTCCTGCCGGGAGCTGCTTTTATGTTTTTTTCGAAGTTGTTTTCCTGCGAGCGGGCGCAGGCAACAGAAATTCTCGAAAAATGTTGTTTTTCTAGGATTTCAGACGGGACGTTAGGCACTTTTTTGGCGTGGTTTTGGAACTAGTTCGTCCTTCAGAGCCATGGTGTTTTCCTGCCGGGAGCTGCTTTTATGTTTTTTTCGAAGTTGTTTTCCTGCGAGCGGCCGCAGGCAACAGAAATTCTCGAAAAAGGTTGTTTTTCTAGGATTTCAGACGGGACGTTAGGTACTTTTTTGGCGTGGTTTTGGAACTAGTTCGTCCTTCAGAGCCATGGTATTTTCCTGCCGGGAGCTGCTTTTTTCGCAGTTGTTTTCCTGCGAGCGGCCGCAGGCAACAGAAATTCTCGAAAAAGGTTGTTTTTCTAGGATTTCAGACGGGACGTTAAGCACTTTTTTGGCGTGGTTTTGGAACTAGCTCGTCCTTCAGAGCCATGGTGTTTTCCTGCCGGGAGCTGCTTTTTTCGAAGTTGTTTTCCTGCGAAAAAGGTTGTTTTTCTAGGATTTCAGACGGGACGTTAGGCACTTTTTTGGCGTGGTTTTGGAACTAGTTCGTCCTTCAGAGCCATGGTGTTTTCCTGCCGAGGGCTGCTTTTTTCGAAGTTGTTTTCCTGCGAGCGGCCGCAGGCAACAGAAATTCTCGAAAAAGGTTGTTTTTCTAGGATTTCAGAAGGGACGTTAGGTACTTTTTTGGCGTGGTTTTGGAACTAGTTCGTCCTTCAGAGCCATGGTGTTTTCCTGCCGGGAGCTGCTTTTTTCGAAGTTGTTTTCCTGCGAGCGGCCGCAGGCAACAGAAATTCTCGAAAAAAGTTGTTTTTCTGGGATTTCAGACGGGACCGGCCGACGCAAAGGGGAGCTGCCCGCAGGCAGCAGCAGGCAGCAGGCAGCAGCAGGCAGCAGCAGACACAAGCAGACGCAGCAGCAGTAAGCGCAATGGTAGCAGTGCAGCAGCTAGCAGCACGAAAAATTGTGTTTTTCTAGGATGGCACTAATGGGTGTCAAGAACGTGGGCAAGAGCACGCAAAAGGTGCACATATAGCCAGTAGCTAGCAGCCAGCGCCAGTAGCAGCCAGCAGCCAGTAGCCAGCAGCCTACCAAAAATCTAATCTAGATTTTTCTAGGATTTCAGACGACACGTTAGGCACTTTTTTGGCGTGGTTCTGGCACTCGCTCGTCCTTCAGAGCCCTGGTGTTTTCCCCCCGGGGAGGTGATTTTTTCGAAGTTGTTTTCCTGCGAGCGGCCGCAGGCAACAGAAATTCTCGAAAAAGGTTGTTTTTCTAGGATTTCAGACGGGACGTTAGGCACTTTTTTGGCGTGGTTTTAGAACTAGTTCGTCCTTCAGAGCCATGGTGTTTTCCTGCCGGGAGCTGCTTTTATGCTTTTTTCGAAGTTGTTTTCGGAAAAAGGTTGTTTTTCTAGGATTTCAGAAGGGACGTCAGGCACTTTTTTGGCGTGGTTTTGGAACTAGCTCGTCCTTCAGAGCCATGGTGTTTTCCTGCCGGGAGCTGCTTTTATGTTTTTTTCGAAGTTGTTTTCCTGCGAGCGGGCGCAGGCAACAGAAATTCTCGAAAAATGTTATTTTTCTAGGATTTCAGACGGGACGTTAGGCACTTTTTTGGCGTGGTTTTGGAACTAGTTCGTCCTTCAGAGCCATGGTGTTTTCCTGCCGGGAGCTGCTTTTATGTTTGTTGTTTTCCTGCGAGCGGCCGCAGGCAACAGAAATTCTCGAAAAAAGTTGTTTTATGTTGTTTTATGTCGTTTTTTATGTTGTTTTTCTAGGATTTCAGAAGGGACGTTAGGCACTTTTTTGGCGTGGTTTTGGAACTAGTTCGTCCTTCAGAGCCATGGTGTTTTCCTGCCGGGAGCTGCTTTTTTTCGAAGTTGTTTTCCTGCGAGCGGGCGCAGGCAACAGAAATTCTCGAAAAAGGTTGTTTTCTAGGATTTCAGACGGGACGTTAGGTACTTTTTTGGCGTGGTTTTGGAACTAGTTCGTCCTTCAGAGCCATGGTGTTTTCCTGCCGGAAGCTGCTTTTTTCGCAGTTGTTTTCCTGCGAGCGGCCGCAGGCAACAGAAATTCTCGAAAAAGGTTGTTTTTCTTGGATTTCAGACGGGACGTTAGGCACTTTTTTGGCGTGGTTTTGGAACTAGTTCGTCCTTCAGAGCCATGGTGTTTTCCTGCCGGGAGCTGCTTTTTTCGCAGTTGTTTTCCTGCGAGCGGCCGCAGGCAACAGAAATTCTCGAAAAAGGTTGTTTTTCTAGGATTTCAGACGGGACGTTAGGCACTTTTTTGGCGTGGTTTTGGAACTAGCTCGTCCTTCAGAGCCATGGTGTTTTCCTGCCGGGAGCTGCTTTTTTCGAAGTTGTTTTCCTGCGAAAAAGGTTGTTCGTCCTTCAGAGCCATGGTGTTTTCCTGCCGGGGGCTGCTTTATGCTTTTTTCGAAGTTGTTTTCCTGCGAAAAAGGTTGTTTTTCTAGGATTTCAGACGGGACGTTAGGCACTTTTTTGGCGTGGTTGTGGAACTAGTTCGTCCTTCAGAGCCATGGTGTTTTCCTGCCGGGAGCTGCTTTTTTCGAAGTTGTTTTCCTGCGAGCGGCCGCAGGCAACAGAAATTCTCGAAAAAGGTTGTTTTACTAGGATTTCAGAAGGGACGTTAGGCACTTTTTTGGCGTGGTTTTGGAACTAGTTCGTCCTTCAGAGCCATAGTGTTTTCCTGCCGGGAGCTGCTTTTTTCGAAGTTGTTTTCCTGCGAGCGGCCGCAGGCAACAGAAATTCTCGAAAAAAGTTGTTTTTCTGGGATTTCAGACGGGACGTTAGGCACTTTTTTGGCGTGGTTTTTGGAACTAGATCGTCCTTCAGAGCCATGGTGTGTGCGATTTGGTAGAAGCTGTTGTAGTGCAAGCAACCGCAGGCAACACCATCGAAGTTTTTTGCCTGCTAGCAGGAGGAAAAGTAACAGCAGCAAATAGACGACCCGCGGCAGCAGCAATAACAGCAGCAGAAGCTTTTGCCGCAACAGCAGCAGGAGCAGAAAGTTTTCATGCTGAGAGCTGAAGCAGACAAGCAAGCCGGAACTGGTCGTTTGTTGTTACTGTGCATGCCATTCCGTTCGGGGGCACACGCGGCCATTGGATTGTTTGTGTTTGCTTTGGATTCGCCCAAATTCTTTGGTGCTCTGGACGCAGGTTCCACAAGTAGGGCATATGTGCGAAAAGCGCGTTGCCGGCAGCGTCGGTCGAAGAAGGCCATCCTGCACGCGAAATTGTCTCCCACATATGCGTCGGTGGTTGACATGTCCGGAAACAATTGACGTAGTAACAGATTTTTGGCAAAAAGGGCATGAGTACACATACAGCTTTTGTGGTGGTGGCTTTTGCTCCATGTCTTTTGGGATTGCAACCTCGTGTGTACCTTCTTTTTCGCTGGTCATGGTTTGGCCCGTGCGTTTTTTTCTGTATTCTGCGATCGCTTGCCATGTCTCGCGTAGCACTTGGGTTTGACGCAATTTTTTGCGAAGAGGTTCCAGTCGGCTTATGATCGATGCAGCAGCCCGCTTGCGGAGAACTGCTTGCGCAACGACAGCGCGGCATACATTGCATATTTGTGTGCCGTTTTCGCCAGAAGGCCGCTTTCCAATGAAATCAGAAAATTGCTGCTGCGGTTTGCGTTGGTGACAGGCTGCGCACTTCCAAGAACCACGCGTTTTCGTTTGGCACTGCAAACACACTCTTCGCGTAGGCTTCCTAGCCATCCACGCTGAGGCGCCGAAGTATTCTTTCGTTTGTTTGCTTTGGCAAACAAAACATTTTCTTTTAGCATCACACGACAGACAGACGCGATACATGCTCCAGCGGGGGTTTTGGTGCTTGCTTGCAAAGTGGCACGCAGCGTGCCACAGGCCACACTGCGTGCATCGATACGGTGTGCCTGCCTCGCGCTTCTGCGCAGTGCATTCTTTACAAACGCGGTGTGTCTCCTGTTTCCACTGCGCTTTGGTGAATGCATCTTTGCGTTTCATCTCCCCACACTCATGACATGGCCTCTCATCCAAGTACTTCTTGCGCAACGCGTCCCAGTCCACCGGTTCCTGCTTCCACACGTCAAGCAGAAGTTGCCTTCCAAGCGGCAGGCCCTCTTGAAAAGGCGCCAGCGGGAACGGACGGTAGATCAAGATCTTCTGCCGTGTGCGGCAGCGCGTCATCCCAATGTAAGCCGCTATTGGGTCTGCACCGATCATGTCCACAATCACGCCCGGCTCTATTGTGCTTCCTTGCGCGCCATAGAACGTGTCAGCGAAGTCGGGCGCAATAGGAAATTGGTATCGCGTCACTTTCAATTGTGGGTTGGCGCGGCCCGCGTCCAAAAACCACAGTCCACTTCGCACGCTGACTGGAAAGACGTTCTCTTCATCGATGTCTGGGATAGTCCACCGTGTGCGTGTTTCAAAACGCACAAAAATATACTCAGGAAGTTTGTTCCAAATGATTGCTCCGTCTGCCGATTCTGTTTCTGTTTCGACGCGAGACCACCCGCAGACTGTTCCATGGCATCCTTTCAAAATCTTGAACTCTTTTCGGTAGAGATGTTCTCGCGCTTGCACGGGCATACCTATGCACAGCGGAAGGACGCCGTACCGGTTGCCGCAGTCAGCGTCGCTGCGCTGCAGCCATGTGAGCTTATCGTGGGCGATGTCGGGCTTCTCGTGCAACGCTCGTGCCGAGACTTTGTCCGTAGCTACTGCATAGCAAATGACCTGCCCACGCTGTCGCGCCCATTGTTCCGCGCGAAGTTTGTTTACTGGTGCGAAGCAGTCCATCGCCAAGACAAGCGCTGCAAAACCATGGGAAACACTGCTGCTACGAGCTGGGATGCACCAACACCATACCGGGATGAACCCCATGCTGAACCTGAAAAATGGGTAAGTTAACAAACATGCCAACTCAAATAGGATGATGTGATACAGTACCTTAAATTCTTTTTGCCTGTAGCTACCACCAGGACGATCACAAGATCAAAACCCCCCATGTTTTCACCAAATTCATCTACTAAATACTGATAATAATTTAATTGTAACAGTGATAACAATATATATATTCTGATGCTGAAGCTAATGATGCTGCTGATGCTGCTGACTTGGGCCCATGTTTTTTTCTTTCAATTTCACAAACCCAATTATTACGATGTGCCTTTTTCCTTGCGAAGCCTACGACTCACGCAAGGGTGGTCAGACACACCATCCTAAAAAGAAATGGAAAGAAAAAACCATGAGCACAAACCAACAATTCCGGTCAAAAACAAAAAGATAATGGAAAAACACAAAAACAATCAAACAATGAAGAAGTGACAGAACCGTTAAGTCATCAAGAAATAATAGACAATCTTAATGATACATTCCCTTCTTTTCAAATCTTAGTTGAATAAATGAAAACTTTAAAACCCTAACAACCTCAACAAATCCTGACCCAATCGATGATACTCCCCTAAAATAATCAACAAGGTTAGGATGAAACGTTTTTACCAAAAATGTCTTACAACATACATCACAAAAAACATCAACACCAAGGAACGCACGTTCCCCTTTAACATAAAAACCATAACAGGCAACAATGCGTGTAAAACTGTCCCAGGAACATCCTTTCCCCATTTTTTTTTGGGGGGGGGTGCAGGCCTGTACCATATATACGTTCTGACGGCTTGCCAATTCTTCCGGGGTCGGCGGCAGGGGCGGCAGCCCTTAAATATACCTCTGCTGTTGGCCATATCACTATAGCTCATATTCTCCACATCCTTAGTTATACCCTATTAGCTTCCATATCGTATAACCCCATGATATCCCAACCCGAAAACTTCTTGGTTTATATCCCATCTACCCTCATTCTTCACAGCTACGCCCGACCTGGTTTCAAGACGCGGTAGATCTCCATCAGCGCAGCATGTTCATCGTCCACGGAGCACAAAACACGGCGCGTCAGAAGTAAGGCACAGCTGCTGCTGGGCACCTACTGGTTGCTCGGTAACCCAGTTGCGTAAGAAAATGATCCCCAATAAGCCAGGTACCAAAACTTCCATAGCCTAATAGCCAATCAAACTGGGTATTTTTTAGTAGCTCAAACGGAGTCCTCTGATGGGAAACATTGGGGGTTAACCAGCAATATATGGACGGTTTAATCCTTTCAACCAGCAAGTAACTAATCCGCCGACCCCTGCCGCCAGCAGGGGGAGCGCGATAGAGGAGGACTGACTAGGGGCTGTCGCCCGCAAGCCCGGCCCGTCCTTCAGGACCGTCCTTTTTGAGACTGGCGAAGGCGCCGTTTTTGAATGTTTGTGACGGCCGGAAAGGGTGCGTTTTTGAAGGTTTGACGGCTGGAAGAGAGCTTGTTTTCTTGTAGGTTCAGAAAGCAACGTTAGGCAGTGGGAGCCGTTGCCCGGAGGCTCGGTCCGTCCTTCAGGGCCCTGCTGTTTTGCTGTGGCGGAGGCGCCGTTTGTGAGCCTTGACGGCTGGAAGAGAGCTAGTTTGGGAGCGTTGCCCGGAGGCTCGGTCCGTCCTTCAGGGCCCTGCTGTTTTGCTGTGGCGAGGGCGCCGTTTGTGAGCCTTGACGGCTGGAAGAGAGCTAGTTTTCTTGTAGGTTCAGAAAGCAACGCTAGGCAGTGGGAGCCGTTGCCCGGAGGCTCGGTCCGTCCTTCAGGGCCCTGCTGTTTTGCTGTGGCGAAGGCACCGTTTGTGAGCCTTGACGGCTGGAAGAGAGCTAGTTTTCTTGTAGGTTCAGAAAGCAACGTTAGGCAGTGGGAGCTGTTGCCCGGAGGCTCGGTCCGTCCTTCAGGGCCCTGCTGTTTTGCTGCGGCGAGGGCGCCGTTTGTGAACCTTGACGGCGCGTTTTTGAAGGTTTGACGGCTGGAAGAGAGCTTGTTTTCTTGTAGGTTCAGAAAGCAACGTTAGGCAGTGGGAGCCGTTGCCCGGAGGCTCGGTCCGTCCTTCAGGGCCCTGCTGTTTTGCTGTGGCGAGGGCGCCGTTTGTGAGCCTTGACGGCTGGAAGAGAGCTAGTTTGGGAGCCGTTGCCCGGAGGCTCGGTCCGTCCTTCAGGGCCCTGCTGTTTTGCTGTGGCGAGGGCGCTTTTCTTGTAGGTTCAGAAAGCAACGTTAGGCAGTGGGAGCCGTCGCCCGGAGGCTCGGTCCGTCCTTCAGGGCCCTGCTGTTTTGCTGAGGCGAGGGCGCCGTTTGTGAGCCTTGGCGGCTGGAAGAGAGCTAGTTTTCTTGTAGGTTCAGAAAGCAACGTTAGGCAGTGGGAGCCGTTGCCCGGAGGCTCGGTCCGTCCTTCAGGGCCCTGCTGTTTTGCTGTGGCGAGGGCGCCGTTTGTGAACCTTGACGGCTGGAAGAGAGCTAGTTTGGGAGCCGTTGCCCGGAGGCTCGGTCCGTCCTTCAGGGCCCTGCTGTTTTGCTGTGGTGAGGGCGCCGTTTGTGAGCCTTGACGGCTGGAAGAGAGCTAGTTTTCTTGTAGGTTCAGAAAGCAACGTTAGGCAGTGGGAGCCGTTGCCCGGAGGCTCGGTCCGTCCTTCAGGGCCCTGCTGTTTTGCTGTGGCGAGGGCGCCGTTTCTAAACCTTGACGGCTGGAAGAGAGCTAGTTTGGGAGCCGTTGCCCGGAGGCTCGGTCCGTCCTTCAGGGCCCTGCTGTTTTGCTGTGGCGAGGGCGCCGTTTGTGAGCCTTGACAGCTGGAAGAAAGCTAGTTTTCTTGCAGGTTCAGAAAGCAATGTTAGGCAGTGGGAGCCGTTGCCCGGAGGCTCGGTCCGTCCTTCAGGGCCCTGCTTTTTTGCTGTGGCGAGGGCGTCGTTTGTGAGCCTTGACGGCTGGAAGAGAGCTATAGCTATAGTTTTCTTGTAGGTTCAGAAAGCAACGTTAGGCACTGGGGGCCGTTGCCCGGAGGCTCGGTCCGTCCTTCAGGGCCCTGCTGTTTTGCTGTGGCGAGGGCGCCGTTTGTGAGCGTTGACAGCTGGAAGAGAGCTAGTTTTCTTGCAGGTTCAGAAAGCAACGTTAGGCAGTGGGAGCCGTTGCCCGGAGGGTTCCATCAACTATGCACGTGCCAGTGGTTGGTGGAACACTGCTTTCCGTTGGGAGTGCGATGAGTTACTTGAATTCGGCCGGAAGCTTTTGTTGAACGCACCACCGCGCTGCATGTCGGACACGTGTGCGTATGCGTGCGACCTGCAAGCAAGCCATTTGCAACGCGAAATTTGTGGCCGCAACCATCACCTCGGCGGTGATCGATTTGTCCTGTTGCCACTTTGCTTTGCACAGATTTGGCGCAGTGTGGGCAGATGTATGTGTACAGTTGTGGCGTAACCGTGTCAGGCCCGACAGCAAGCTGCTGGTTCGATGAGTGGGCAGTGTCCGTTTTGGGAGCTTCTGCTCGCGTGGAAGTTTGTCTTGCTTCGTGTATTTCCTGAATTTCCTTGCGAACGTCCTCTAGGATTGCTGCGTGACGGTGGCGGGTTTCGCGTTGGCGCAAGCGGGCCAGGCGTTGATTCGTGCGATGAGCAAGATGGCAAACGAAGGCAAAGGCTGTGCATGCGTTGCATACTTGTGTGCCGTCTTGAGTATATTCACGCTACCCTGCCTGGGGTCGGCGGCAGGGGGCGTAGCCCCTTAATGAATTAATCCGGCCAGGGGCCCCCTGGCCGTGTCCTTGCCGTACGGCGTTTCTCTCCTCTCCGTAGGAGAGAGGGGCCGCCGCCCCAGCCGCCGACCACCCGGTAGGGCCAAAAAAACCCGCGTTTTACGGTGTTTTGTGCTCTTCCAATTTTTTCCCATTTTTCGGATCTTGTGGCTCAAGATGGGTCAACATGGGCCAACATAGGCCGCAAGATGGGCCAACATAGCCCCAAGATGGGCCCACATAGCGCCCAAGATGGGCCAACATAGCGCCCAAGATGGGTCAAGATAGCCCCAAGATGGGCCAACATAGCCCCAAGATGGGCCCACATTGCCCTCCAGATAGGCCAACATAGCCCCAAGATGGGCCAACATAGCCCCAAGATAGGCCACCGACCATCAAAATATCCTGCGTTTTACAGGCGTTTTTGCTGTTCCCATTTTTCGGATCTTTTGGCTCCACGTGGGTCAACATGAGGCCAACATAGGGCTCAAGATGGGCCAACATAGCCCCAACATGGGGCAACATAGCCCCAAGATCGGCCAACATAGCCCCCAAGATTGGCCAACATAGTTGGGCCCCTGGCCGGCTGTCGCGCGTAAGCGCTTAAATAACCAACAAGTAATGGAGTGGCTGTTGACTATCAATAAACTGGGAACCTAACTGGTTTAACCAGCAATGAATGGATGGTTTAATCCTTTCAACCATCAATGTAATGGAGGATGCAGTGAATTAAAATTGAGAAAACCTGCAATAAAGCAAAGATGTTACTGTTTTAACCTTCAATGAACGGATATTAATTATACCAGCAAGAAGTGGAGGGTGTAACTAGCACTATATAAATGAGGGGTCAAACGATAACATCCTTTTTGGAAAAGAGAGCAAAAATAACAACCATGTGCGGTTCCAAACTGATATCCAATATTTGGGTCATAGTCATTTAATCCCATTTATCAAGATTGGTTTCTGCTCAAAGAGCAATTCTCTTCCAGAGTGTCAGATGGAATCCCCACATTTTCTCTTGTCACATTCACATGATGGGTGCTCAAATACTGAAATCCTATCGTTTTCTTTGGGTGGGATCCCCACCTTCTTGTTGAAATCCACCTTTTTTGCATATCAAAGATTGGTCAAAGGCTGCCGATGCACACAGGAGGCCTCTTCCAGGTCTGCCGCGAAGGACACGGAAAGGTCCAGGTCGTGCGCCTCAGAGGCGGCCTTTTCCCAGGTAAAACGATTTGGCTCCACCGCCAGCACCGGCAGATCTGGCGCTTCCGCTGCCTGCCGGAATCCGGGAATCTGGCCTGGTGGAGGTTTCCTAAAATGTTTAGGTACCCCCAAATCAATCCAAAATCCAAATCATCCGTTTACAGGTGGATTTTCCATCAGAAACCCATATAAACCATCCATTTTCCATGAAATAAACCATCTCGTGGGGTAGCCCCATGACTTAGGAAGCCTCGGAAAAAGTTCGACCCACCTTCAGCGTCAGGAAATCGTTGCCACTTCCACTGCCCAAATCCACCACAGAGCCACCTACCTTGGACGCAGAGAGAAAGTCAGCATCCAAAGACCCACTAGTTATAGAATAGTAACCATTGGTTTAATAATAGTGAACTACTGATAGTTATAGAATTACCAATGGTTAATAATGAACTGATAGTTATAGAATTAACTACTGATAATTTAATAATGAACTATTTCCAATGACTGATAATAGAATGATATATAACATTATATAACCAGGAAATCAGTCCTGGCTGAGAAGAAAAAAGGCGCGGCAGAATCATTCTGAATCCAAAGACCCTCTAACCGCTAACCTGGCTGAAAAAATCCACGGTTGTAGTACCGGTAGTTTGTAGATGAATCATCGACCGGGATTTGAACATTGCCAGCCATGTTTTCAATTGCTGTAGGATAAATTATCTCTGCTCGAACGAGGGATTGGAAGAAAGCCGGTAATGATAATACTAGTATATAGTAGTAACAACAATCATCATACTACCAGTCATCCCTATTACAGTAGTTCTGGTTAATAACAGCAATAACAGCAACCAGCACAAACATCGCAACTGATGATATCATCCAACTGCTTGTCACGGGAACTATCACAACAACTGATTCACAGTAAACTAACCAATCAGTAATAAAATCACAATTGGTAGTAACAATGGCAATCCATAGAATACTGGTTCATAGTAGCTAATTGCTGTAGTCATGGCCAAAAAACTATTACTAAGTATCATTAACTCTTATTAAATATCATCAAGTATTAGTTATCATTCTCACCAGCGAATTGTTAGTTATGATTCTATTATTAGCTATGATGTTTCTATGATTAGTTATTATTCCCTCGTATTATACTATTCTATTGAATACTACATGTTGTTAGTTGTCCTTACTAACACAAAGGCCCAAAACACGTCCCTTCTTCATATCCTTGCTTCTTTTTTATTAACCATTATTGACCATTATTAACCATTATTAACCATTATCCAATATCAACCATTCTTGATACAATGGTTCATGTCCAATATTTGTTAACTATTACCATCTCGTTATTTAACAGTTCGCCATGGAAAATGGCCCTTTTCGAAATAGATGGTTTACCTTTTTCTTTACCCATTAAAAATGGTGATTTTCCATGGCGAACTGTTAGTCATAACCAGATGGTAAATCATCATTAATCCCCATTAATCACCATTAACTATCAGTATTAACCACTATTAAATCCCATTAATCCCCATTAATCACCATTAAACCACCATTTTCCTATGGAAAATCCCATTAAAATCCCATTATTAGTTCCAAAAAAAAAACGCCCGGCCTTCGAGGCCATTGCTCCAGCACGTTTCAGCAGTTCTGCCTCGGCAACACTCACCTGGTTGTCCGGGTTAAAGCGGTCAACCTGGCCAGGTAGATATGAAACCAAGGGTGGATGGGATATCATGGATGTATACATTGATATATATATATATATCAGAATTGATGAAATTGTTTTAAAACTCATCCTTTTAAAACAATTTCATCAATTCTGATTAGTCGTGAGTCGTGTCATCTGATACTACTAAATCTTCTACTGGGATCTTCCTGAATAGAAATGGAAAGAATGGAAAAAATTGAAACGACCATCCAGAATGAGGATGGTCTGTGAAATGGACATCATCAATGGATCAACACCTGGGCGATGTACCAGAGGTAGGCATCCTGTTTTCGCACCTGCGGCGGCCATGATGTCAACTGTCATGGCTACCAGTTCCTCGAAGCCATTAGTGATCCCATGCTCCTGTTGATGACACCCAATAAACAATTGATTGTTGAGTGAAAAATGAGTTGAAATTCGCAACAAAAAGTCATGCCATCTGATGTTGATCTACCTGGACTCCAAAAATATGAAAACCCCACCTGTGGGATAAAAAGTCCCGCAGTAAAGGCCAAGGTGAGGCCGCGAATCAACAGCTTTCCTCAATTTCTTTGGAAGATCACATCGGGTTTTCATGGGATTTATATGGATATTTATGGGGGGTATCATGGGATATTATGACCAACAATCGGATATGTGGATGTGTGTCTGAAAATAGGGTATATACCCTCCAAATGACTAATGGGGAGAATGAAAATAGTCCATGGAACCGCGGGGTAGGATGTCTCATGGGCACGATTTTTCCGCTTGAGATTACGATAGCTTGTAGATGCTCTGATCATCTCTAGCAACTGAAGATTTACTAATGGATGTTCATTCCCTATTGGAAAACAATCAAAGATGGTGTCAGTGGCTCACCTCATTGTTCCATCAAGGAGCTAAGATCATTTCGAGACAAGGTTGCGGTCGCGCTGACCTTGCCGAGCGACCAGTCCCAGCTGATCGGACAATCCAGGGAAGCAAAACCCACGTGGCCGCCAGGATAATCGATGGACCATCTGAAGGGGATAACTATCCATAGTTGTCATATGAGCCATGGTCAATACTCACTATATGGTTGATGGTCATCCCATCCATAATAAGCATCCTTATAATGGTTATTATAAATCCCTATGAACCATTGGATGAACCATATTGTTTGTGAACTATCTCATATGCAAACGATGGTGGAAGAAGACAACAAAAAGGATCTTGGATTTTTGAAGCTTCTCCTCGCCAGCAATCCGTTGAGACATGCCATCGTGTCTTTAAAAAGGTTTGACGACTGATCGCCATGTCATCTCTCCCAGAATTCTACCCTCTGATTATTCAACGTATCCATGAAAAATCACGATGTTTGATAGGTAAACCACCACTTGCACCATCTATATGTGGGCCATCTATAGCCATGTTAGTCATAACCAGAGGGTTCCTAGTGATCTGCCAGGAGATGATCTTCTACATGTCTTTTTGGTGTTTCCTTCGACTTGTTTTAGGGGATTTTGATGGATTTTGAGCTTATTCAAGGTTGATTTACGGCCTGTTTATGGTTGATTTAGCATTGGGTGAATTGGAATGAATTGGGGTCCTGCTAGGCTTTTGACGCTTTGTGAAGGGTTTTAGTGGCTTGAAACACATGTAAAGAAACCTCTGACATATGGTTGTCGAAAGTCCGGTGGTGAAACTAAAATGCGACCACTATGATGACAAGCATGGCACTCTTGGACATGTAAAGATATGAGGTTTACGACATGCGGGCCTCCTCGCTCTGCGCTGCCGCTTCGGTCACTCTCGGGCCGCTGCTTCGCTGCACGAGATGCCTCGGTCCTGGGCTGAAAATGGGGAGGTCTGTCATGGGAATATTAGTGGAGATATATTATATCAAAAATAAGGAGCAATATAATAGATGTAATTGATATTGTATATCCATGATATTGATGTTACTAGTGTGCAATATGATGGATTAGAGTTTTTGATGTTTTTTGTCCAAAAACAAAGGTCCAGCCAATTTTCGGCTGGTCAAACCCCCATCATATCAATGTGAAAATGGCTTAGCCTTCACATTGTCAGCTCCTAACCCATATCACTTTAGTTTTAACAACCATTGAACTATTGCTGAAAATGTGGTTAAATAGTTAAATAATGTTACATATATATATATTGCTTTTTTTTCTCTTGCCAGGCATTCAGTCGCAGACAATCGCAACTCATGCGAATGCTTCGGCGCTTGGCATGATCTCATACTACCCTTTATCTCGCTGCCTGTAGAATGTTATTGTTTTGAAAAGGGTCCCCATCATAGTCTGTGTGGCTTATCCGATTGTGGATGATTTCGTTCGACCTAAACAACCACTGCTATCAACCCAATTAACTATATCAATTTGGGAACCGTTGCTTGAACCAACATGCCTTGGCGTAAAAACACCGTCCCTTACCGCGACATCGCCACGTGTCTCGTCCCAAAGGTCCCGGTCCATGTCGGTGCCAAGGCGAACAGCAGGGTCGCAGTGCCCCAGCGGATGGCAGGCATCACAACTGATGGCAGAAAACCGTAGCTTCAATGGTTTGATTTACAGTGAAGAATTGCAAATCATGGTGAAATTGAATATCCCTTTATCCAATTCTGGGACATCAAGATATCTTCGAGAATTCACAGGTCCCTATCACCTGGGAGATGGATAGAATGGGACAAATTAGGATTGCTTGGTACTATTGTATGGTACGGCATGCGACGTGCTTCGCCACTGCGGAACGACAGTTCGGGTTCCCATCACGGTAATTTGATCGACATCCTGAAACTGATTGATTTCGTCAATGTACAAGCTGAAGTGTGGTGCTTGATATCCATGATACTGTCTGCATCATCTGAAGAAGCTCTGGAAAGCACTGAAGTGCTCATCTGAATAAGATTGCCAAGCTTGAGGAAATGCTTCGATGGCCATGGATCCGGCTCAACACGTCAAGGTGGAGCTGTTAGCCGCTGTTAGCCCGATCCTTCGCAACCCATGGCAAGTCGCAGCAAAGTGGAAATCTCCAGAGGCCTCCTTCCAGACCCCAATTTGTGGTCCCAAATAGATTGAACTAAAAGATGGGTAGCAGATCTCTATCTAAGCGCAGCTCTTATTTAACGGCACCTGTAGAAAACTAATCCATGTCGGAGCGACACTTCCTCCAGCTTCTTCTTGTAGACCTTACCGCTCCTTGGCATCGGCAGCATCCCAATGAACCCCTTCATCATCTGGGCAGCGTGCCACATAATCCGGGCCACCGAACTCATGAGATTTCTTGGAGCTGCTATTGTTGAAGAGCTTGTTGGAAGGCAAGCAAAACATCTTGTCCTGGCACTTTGGTTTCAGCGAACTTGAACGTGCTTTGCTGCGCTCAAACTTGCGCTGATGTCTCAAGCTGGGTTTCCAGATTTTTGCTAAGTCTCAGGAAGGATAATACAAAGGGGATGGGGTTAAGTCCATGAGAAGTACTCACTCGACATCCCAGCCTTGTGGGTAGGTTCCTGCCACCCAGGGATGCTCTTGTCATTCCATCGCTCCTCGAACTCCTGTGACGGGGTTGGAATAAACCCATTGGTCTGCCAGAGACCCAGTACTAAATACGTTTGTGAAATTCATGCGTACATTGTGTGTATATTGCATATATGTATGTACATTATACATACAATATAGATATATATATAATATAATATATATATATTATATATATAATTATATAAGCCACCCCAGCAAATCGATAGAAAAGCTTGTGTGGTTTGATTCCACCCAAATGCAGCTTCTTACTGCTGCATCCAAAGGCTGACTCGCTCTTTGCAACAGTCGGAATGCATGGTCAAGGCAGCTTAAAATGTCTGCACTTTGAGGGCCCAAAATGTTTTAACATGAAGGGAAAGAACTAGTGTGTTCGGCATTGGCTCAAAGTTACCCTATTCCGAGGTCTCTTGTCAAAAACATACATAAAAGGATTTTTGTTTTGATCCATACCCATGTGTTCCATGCTCAAGGTACACAAGGGGTATGCATCGTCCTCCAATCACTAGACTAGACTATATTTAGTGATTCCAAACATTTTGGGCATGTGAACCGGCTACGACCATGCTCCAGAAACCTTGCACCATGCGTATCCCATCCACAAGGTGGTTTGTCTCAAGATTGGGGTACCCAAAATGCATAGTTCCTCGTGTTCCTGTTAAAATTGACATTTTGCGGTGTACCTGTACCACATTTTCTGGGCTAAGGCGCTAAGCCAGGGATTCATGGTATGTCACTGCCTTCTCAAACTGCTGCTCAAGCTTGTCAGCATCAATCTGGGCAAAGCCAGGCCGGGAGATACGGTTCTTTGCGCCCTATCCTGTAGTCCCAGCAATTCTAGGAGCTCATTGATCACTCAGACAGATTTGGGTTGATCGGTTGTGTCCATGTCATGAAAAAATTACCCCCAGAATTATACAGAAACTAGATGAAACCAGTGAAAACTGAAGGGGTGTCCAATTTTTCTCGCTAATTCCTTGAAGCGCCAACCCTACCAATAAAAATTCGCTGGAAATTGCTTGGCCCTCACCAGGATGGAAACCAATAATTCCTTCCCAGAGCGCTTGGCAGAAATCTCCCATCAACTCCAACTGATCACCCCAGTAGACCTGGCCTAAAGTGGGTCCCACTCATGTTGTTCAGCATCCTTATGGATCAAAACTATCAACCTCCAAAGAGAAACTGGACTATTTTGTACAGACTATCAGAAACAACCCTCTGGTAATCAAACATGGCAACGGAAAATCCCCAATTTATAGATTTCGTTGGGGCATTTTCCAGCCAGCCATGCGAAATGATCAGAAACGTGGGCCCTTTTTTACGGTCGCCATCCACACCATCCGTCCCGGAGCCCTGGAAGCCCTGGGGGGCCCGAGCCAAGGGCTGCGTCCGGAGAAGGAAGCCTCGTAGGTAGCTGATGAGACCCTCAAGGTACTCCTTGGAGATGACGTTGGGACATGGCCAGGGCTGAAATGTGGCTAAAATAGCCTCAACTGGTTGGTATACCTACCCCTCTGAAAAAGATGAGTCAATGGGAAGGATTACATCCCATATATTATGGAAAATAAAAGATGTTTGAAGTTTGAAACCTCCAACCAGTCAAACATGCAGAAAAAATTGCCATGGGGCAATACCACTTGGGCTGGAAAATCTGGGGGCATCAATAGATACGGCAGCGTTTCGATTCAGAGGGTTTCCTCGCTCCCAACATCAACACACGGGGGATCTGGGGACGTTTTTAGCGACAGACTCCAACGGCCAAATTCGTCGCTTGCAAACGGAGATGGGGAACCAGGAGAAACATGGAGAACTGCAAACGGGGCTCACATTTTGCTCCAAACATCATTAGGAGAATACTGGACATGGATTGAAAAAATCTGGCAATCCAAATCCAAATGCACACTGGTCAGTCATCAATCAAATCCATTGCCTTTCTGCATTCCATCGCCGACTCTTGAAGCTCAGGGATCCAACATAGCTTCACAAAGCTGACATTTGCAATTCTCTAGGGCGGGATGTCCACATGAAGATTAAATTCTCACTTGGAGTTACTTGGTTGTGCTGAGATTGGATAAGTTTGAAACCCCGAACAAAGCACTGGGAGCAAGCGGCTGTATAGTTCTTCTCACCTCGGCATTGAATGAGATGAGCAAAGGGATGCACGCAGCGTTCCACTGGCGAATGTTTCATCCTTTATGGTTCCTTCAAGGGTGGCCTTAAAGTACAAGAGTTACATCCATCATTCTTCTACAAGCATGTGGTGGGCGACATAACCCTGTGTCATGTACCTCCAAGTGTCACCACGAAGGGGGAGAACACTGAGAATCAAGGACAACAATTTGCCCAGCAATACGGGCAATACCCATCAACCATGCTCGTCAACCCGAAAAACGTCGCTATCGTCACTCCCAAAAACAATCAAAAACATAGAAAGGCTAATGAAAAGTATAATTCATAGATGATCACTATGTTGTGGGGATTTGTGGGCTTGGATTTTAACACCTTCTATCTTTTTTGGGGTACCTTTGGGGTACCGGTACCGGGTACCCAAAAAAAAACTGGGTGCATCAAGAGACGATACTTGCAGTACCTGTTGATCTCGTGGAACTGATCGAAGGTCTTCAACCACTCGATGTAGTCCAGCTCGTGGAACTCCTTCTCCACCGTCCTCAGCGTTGCAGCGATCTCTGGCTGTCCTTTTTTGTGGAAAAATGGTGGAAAAAATTGGCATAAACATCCCGGCGCCTGGTTTACCGCGCGTGTGTTTTGGCATTTTCTCAAGAGTCTTTATGATGACCTTCATGTTTATCTCTTGGTATTTGCAGGACTTTTGAAGCAATCATCATCATGTTTGGTCACAAAATGTGGCTAATTCCATTGCGTTTTATTTTTTCATCATTTTTCACTTGTATTTGCAGGCTTTTGTGAACGCCAGGAGTAGAAAGAGGCTGTTTCAGGATGCCTTATTTTTTGATGAATTTGCGTTTCGCCACAGGGAGACAACAAAAAAATCGGACTTTTCGGTTTTTTTCTGGCGCAGCACTTTCACTGCATGTTCGCTCGAAGAGTCTCGGCGTGTGCAAGTGCAAGAGACGAGGTCGGTAGCGTAGCATCACGTATGTGTGCAAGTGCAAGAGAAGAGACCGGTGGCGTAGCATCACGTATGTGTGCTAGTGCCATTGAACGTTATTAGCCCACCCCACCCCACCCCACCCCAACCCATCTGTAGCGTAGCATCAGGTATGTGTGCAAGTGCAAGAGACGAGGTCGGTAGCGTAGCATCAGGTATGTGTGCAAGTGCAAGAGACGAGGTCGGTAGCGTAGCATCAGGTATGTGTGCAAGTGCAAGAGACGAGGTCAGTAGCGTAGCATCACGTATGTGTGCAAGTGCAAGAGAAGAGACCGGTAGCGTAGCATCACATATGTGTGCTAGTGCCATTGAACGTCGTTATTAGCCCACCCCACCCACCCCACCCCAACCCATTTGTAGTGTAGCATCAGGTATGTGTGCAAGTGCAAGAGACGAGGTCGGTAGCGTAGCATCACGTATGTGTGCAAGTGCAAGAGACGAGGTCGGTAGCGTAGCATCAGGTATGTGTGCAAGTGCA